GAGCATGGTACCATATATCAGATGTCAGCGAACGATTTTTTTAAGTCAAAATTAAAGATTGATGGTATTCGATCGAAAACACCGTCTTCACGATGACTTCAAACAAGGGCAACCTCATCGACCCCTATGTGAAACGCTCAAAAGTAACACTCTGTCGGGTTTTGACTTATTTTAGTTCGTTTTAGCTTGTTGTAAACAGTTTCACTCTGTCGGGTGACACTGTTTACAACGGCTGCTGCATTTTTTTATGGTAGGACCTTCGAAGACGATAATTATGACTGTCATTAAAGATGCGGCTAATGAAGAACGAGGGAGGTCGTCGAGCGAAAGCGTTCACATCGAAACGTTCCAAGGGATTTAGTTGTATTGCTAAGGGCCATTCAAAAACACAACCCAAGTTGGTTGAACGATTCCCCTCCTATCCACAGGATAGGCCCCTAGGAGATAAGTATATAGTTGCCTGGGCATGTAAAGAATGCATGGAAGTGGTCCTGCAAGGGTACAGAGCCCTGCAAATGCAGCTTCAGCAGCTTCAATTCCCTCCGTTCGCATCAGGCTGTTACTGACGCCCTCTCATCTGCTGCTTTCGCACCTCATTCTCTCCTCCCCACTTAGTCTCTCGTTGTCTGAGAACAATTTCCTATGCTCTACTGCCGCCACATTTCACACCAATTCTTCATATTGTGTGCAAGAATCACAAGGCCTTACTCCTGAAAATTGCCTTCAGTCGGCACAGAAAGTGGAGTGAATCAACGGCTTCAAGCATTATACTTCGCAGAAGCCTCGCAACAAAAAGCCCAAGAATTTCTGAGAACTTCCGCCTCATATAATTCATCCATCGGGCCTGGCTCCGTCCGATTTTCATTCATTTCCGTCAGCACAACACCCTGTAGCCGATAATATGGCTCAAGAACCCGACGACTACAGAATTTGACTGTCCAACTTCACAGCTGAGGCAGCTCTCCTGGACAGACATTTGTACTTTGAGTCGCACATGAAAGATCTTTTTTTCGCTTTGCACCTACTACTATTACTACTACTATTACTTATTGTTACTATTATTGTAAATATCGTTGAATGAACTTTCGCTGAATGTCACATCATCATGATATATGCTCTACACAGACGGTTCGCTATGATTTTCCGATCACCTTTACCTTTAAACCCGACTCGAAGAATTTCGAACCATGTTCTATAGTTTTATGTAGAACGTGGTGCTATCCATCCGTTCCTCGAATGCTTACTGTCTCATTCTAGCTAAAGCACTAAATCCACTTGGTTAGAATGGCGTCATAATCAGCCCTGGTCGTAGATGTCTGATATCCCAAGAAGGTGGCCGCAATAAGCTCTATCTGGCTGTGTTATTCAAAACCTTAGCCTGAGATTATTCATATATCCCGCCCATGTTCTCGTCATATGCGGTGCTAAATTTGTGATCTGACACGGTCCATGTATTGCTTTCTTTTCATTGGATTACTGCATTATTCTGCAGTGATCATTAGCACTGAATCGGGTAGTTAGTGTTTCATTTCCCTTCTGGGGGCTTAGCGAGCATCCACTCGTCGAGTAATCGGCTTATCATCAAACCTTCCGCTCGTTTGATACAGTGCGCTCTACGAGTATTTGCTTTGAAATTAATTAATTTTTTGCCATGGAATTTTGTTCTTTGAATATTTTCCTCTTTTGAAATTTTTTGAATATCTCAGGAGAAACTCCATTTCAACAACCTCAAAACGTGGAAGGTAGTCATGAGATAGACTCTAATGCACAGTTAGAAGCTGTATACTGGCCTCACTATTTCCGAACGAAGTGGAATATCCCACATAAGAGTACCTTGATTAGCTAAAATTCGGAAATGCACCAAACTCCTTTTATTGCCCAACATCACATTTTCGTAGAGCTGGAGCAGCTGTGCTAGCAAACACCTGTTGAATCCTAGTTTGAAGTGATTGGTCTCAGATGAAAGACTCCCAATGTTATCAGTGAATGCACCAAACCCTTAACGGTTGGCCCTATTCTCAACAAAGGGTTCCACGATGAGAGCAAGCTCGAAGCTCAGAAGAGAAGGAAATACCTAGTGTCAGAGCCATTCGAGGCACGGGACAATGGGGTTTCTCAGAGGAGAATATGCTCTAGGGGCTTAGTAGGGCCTCATCCGCGTCGTACGCGGATGAGGGGCCGCGACACGCCCACCGTCTCGCCGTCTGGTTCTAGTCGCTTAGCAGAGAGCGTTAGCGTTGACAAGAGCAGCACTAACGCGACACGTTTAATGCCGAATCACTGAATAGGAAGGGGTCCTTCTCAGGTACAAGGCCGCCATTCGTTGTTTCTTTTCTCCATCCCTGCATCACTGCCTACCTCTAACTTGATCTGCGGTAGGCCGCCTTTTTTCTAACAAAATCCGCTTCTATATTATAACATTTTGAATTCCATCAATTTGGAGAACTGTGATTGAGTTTTGACCCCCATTGGTAGTCTTCAATAAGTCTGGGCAGTTATCGAGAAACTAATGATTCAATGGCTGAGGTGTTATTAAGATTTCCTACTCCGGCGAGACAAAATTGATTGTTGTCACCAGTTCATTTGTCGCCAATTCCAGTTTCCATTGAAGTTTCAGCAGGCTTCTGTAAACACCACTAAACGTATGTGGTATGTCATTAGCTCAGACTTTTTGATAAACAGCGTAGTTCTAATGCAGCCTGCAACAAACCCTGTAAAGTTTGTTATCCGGTTATTGATATCCGTTCTACACGAATACTGAAATTCAGAATTCTCTCATCTACATTGTTTGAACGTTAATCCTTCTTCTGCCATGGCGTGCAAAACCCCGTGATCTGACAGCAAGTGTCCACCTATATTATACGACCTTCCCTTCAACATAATATACCTCCCCTTCAAAAAGCGAGAAAGTGTCGGGTGCAGACCAAACACCACAACTGACGACGGCCTCCAAGTAAATCTGGTTAGAAGTTGTTCATAGTGATAGCTGATTTCTGGTAAATGATAGTTGTAATTAGTGACAATCGATAGAATACAACTGCAACAGGCTAATCATTTCATTGGCAGAAAACATCAACATTTTGTGAAGGCCGTTGTCACAGAAAAAGATTATCCAAAGGATATAGAAAAAAAACTCGAAAAATATTTACCAATGAAGAACTTGTTTTTCTGCTCATTTCTTGCAAGAATTATTTCGAAAATCAAATATGAAAATAGATCACTAGTAAATAAATAGATTAAATATAATAAGAGCTATGAAAAATGAAGCATTAAATAAAGATTCAAAAGATTTAGGGTACATTCGGAGCATTTTATTAGGGTCTTTATGAATGCATCATATTTGTGTTCTAAACCTGTGCTTGGTACAAGGTATGAATTAATGAATAAAATGAGGAAGTAAACAAGGATGAAGAGAATTGCTCTATTGAGCTTTTTTCTGACCTGGAGAGGTTCTAAATATCGTTTGTTTGACAAATTGAAATTTTACCAATGCAGACACCTGTGCAATCAGAGATGTCCTTCGTTCAGGCTTGTCGTTAGCTTGAGCAACGGTCGCGGAAATTCTTGACAGAAGGGTCCTTATGCCTTGGCCGAAAGTGGCATCGTAAGCGCAGGGGTTACGACAGAACCAGCGGTATAGCTCTCCTCACTCGTTTCACCACTAGCTGGAAATGTATTTCAATGAACGATGCAGTGGTAAAACTTTTGAAAAAAAATCGAGTGGAAGGTGCATTTGAAAAATTAAGCAATCCTGATAGAGTAGAATGAGCAGCTAGCCTGAGCAGAATCAGCTTTGGGGTTTGAACTATGGAGCTTTCGCGTGGTAGCAGCGCAACTTGCCGCTACGTCTTTCTTTTACATCAAGAACTACTGTGTAAAATTTACTTCGAATGTAGTGCAACGAAGCACAACAAGAGTAGAAGGGGGGGGTCGTAGGGAAACTATTGTTAGGGGGGTCATCTTGGCGCGACTCTTCGCTCAACTTTCATCCTGTTCGTCATTGTAATCTGATTGGTTCCTTCTGGTGTTGTTAGATTTACTTCTATTATTTCCGAACAAAATATATTCTGCTATAGAAAATTACCAAAAAATTAATACATATGCTCGGTACCGTAATATTTTCCCATCAATTTTTATTTATTCATTTATTTACTTAATTATTTACTTATTAACTGGATGGGCGTCAGTATGTTTTTTCCGGATACAGCGAAGTACAGCTTATACAAAAAAGCCTGATCGGCCTTTTATAACGACATAATGCTGTTAACCATGCTCGTGACTATATCTGATCCAAATTCTATATATTAACTGTTTCTTGGAACCCTCTGATTTTTTCTGCATTAACTTCCTGTATCTATTTTTTCGAGTTTCTCTTTCGGTTTTCTCTTTTTTCCTTTTTTTGGCACCATATCTGGCACATCCTTGACTATTCTTAGCGGTTGCGGCACGCCATGGAATGAACAAGCACATACATCTATCCATAGAAGATTTATTGCATTTAGAAATGAACTAAGAACTAGAGAATGAATCTACAATCAGCCTATTTTGTCCTGTACATTGTCGTGCCAACTCTTGGAATTGGTCTCAATTGGTATGTCCTATGGAGACTGCTGCGAATTGCCAGGTGAGACACGTGCCTTAGCCACTTTTCTAAAAACAGTTTCTTGTAATTCATTGCATATTGAATGTCTGATTAGGCAGGTGAAACGTTCAAAAAGCACTAATTGACTGTTTCTCATTTCTTTTCGGAGAAAATTTAGTTGCCTACTGCCTTGAAGGATGACCGTGTCTATTAGGGGCAATACAGCTAATTCTGGAATGCATTTGTACCTGAATAGCTTGTTGAGCTTATCAGGAAAGTCTATCAGGACGTGGAGCACTTTTCCAAAACGATCTTCTGCTATAGAGGCACGGCTCAAAGTATAAAAATGGTTCTTTTTTTCTAACTGGCTCTGGAAATACCGATAAATATGAGGAAATACGGGCTTGTGGTTCGACCCCAGTGAGGACAATTTTTTGCACTTCTCTGCTTCCCACTTTTTGCGCTCAAGTAAATTTACAAAAAATCTAAACTTATTAACAAAAAATTAATCTAAACTCATTCACTAAACAAAAATCTTCGGATATGCAGCTATTTGATATTTGCATTTTTGACATAACCTCCCTTCAAAAAGCGAGAAAGTGTCGGGTGCAGACCAAACACCACAACTGACGACGGCCTCCAAGTAAATCTGGTTAGAAGTTGTTCATAGTGATAGCTGATTTCTGGTAAATGATAGTTGTAACAACTGCAACAGGCTAATCATTTCATTGGCAGAAAACATTAACATTTTGTGAAGGCCGTCGTCACTTGTGGTGTATGGTCTGCACCCGACACTTTCTCGTTTTAAGGGGAGGGTACTCTACAGCTAATCAAATGCTGTAGAGTATGTCAGAAATGTAGAAGTTTCACTTCCTAGAAAAAGATCTCGCCATTATCTCTGCAATCTAACGGCTGCTCGGAAAAAATTATTATCATTTTTCATTTTTACGCACCACGCAAGTGCCCCTATGAAATGCAAAAAAAACCTTTCGAAAAAACGCTCAACATCTTGATTTACTTTCCCTGGAGAAGACCTGCTGAACTCACTGCAAGCCAATGATATTTGGTTATTTCATGAGCAAACGTAGCGAGAAGCCTAGAGCTCAATTGCAGTAGATTACGAGACCACGCGAAAATCGTAATCTTGAGATCTTCGCCTGCGATTGCCAGATTCACTTCAAAGCTCTTGTAATCTCCCATATGTACACCACTCAAACGAAATGGAAGAAAATAATTCCACTGCGAATGTTTTTGAGTGAATGCTACATTGATATATTTTGAAATATGAGGGCAAAAAATCGTGGCGTTGAGTTGACTTAAAGCAAAACAATCCTTCCATAACGCAGTTCTACTAACAATATTGAAACTATAAAAAATGATCAAAATTAATTTTGACTTGTTTTTGTTTGTTAACTGCTGTTTTTGGCCGCAGTTCGCCTTGCGAATGTTTCACAAGAAAAAAGCTGAGTTGGAATGAAATGGTGCCCCGGTAGCGTAACTGGTAGCGCACTTGCCCGGAAAGCGAGAGGTGCGGGTTCTAGTCCCGCCTGGGGCGAAAGTTTTGTTCACAACCCAGCATTCTTGTGATCAAATTTAAGTTATCAAATTTTCCTCCCGGCGATCATTGATGTATCAACGTACCTAGAAGTCTTTTAGTTGTCCCAAATTCAGTCAGTAATTATCAAAAAGCTCCTCTGAATCGAAGTCTACCTAGCAATTCTCCGAATCGGTTTGGCCCCTAAATCCACTTTGTGCTAGCGTATATAATATATTGCATTTTTATTCAGGCGGAGTGCTATTCGGTTTGAGACCACATCGGGACTTCCGTTGGCTGCAATGTCTGCTGGTGATTCAGTTACGCTACTAGCACAGCTTGTTCAAGCATTGTTCCATAGTGTACCAAAAAATGGGCTACCGACGTGGCTATTGAGTGGCACCTGCAAGGTGAGTAACTACGAATCTTAGCAGCAGGTTGTAACAACCTCACTGCTTTCGTTCACTAATTTGGTATTATACGTACCATCTTGTGATACGATTTCTGCCTAAGAAATCGAAAATCGAAACCGCAAAACTGTTCCCGCTTGCCGGATTCTCGGGTGTCTCCATAGTAACGGAGCTGATACAAGCGACAAGATGCTCGAGAAGGCAGAGACGCAGACAGGTCGGCGGACAAGCTACGCGCGTCAAGTCAGATAGAATGCACTATAGCACAGCGTGCGCCGCGAGTCGTCCGCTAAGTCGTCTGCGACTCTGCCTTCCCTGCCGCCGGATGGGCCTGCTATCGAGTACACCGAAAATTACCATCAAATGATTACGCACAAAGAATTTTGACGTCGATGATCCCTGGAGATGACGCCACGCGTTGGGCTCCTTGTCAAAAGCCACAATACGTTTCAAGGCGTATCGGTGTTATAGTGATTCAAGAGGGCGGTTGCAGCTCATGCTTGTATCTGCGCAAAAGGCTTATAGACCCGGGGCTAGTATAGGGTTTCGATCCCTCGGATTCCCGATTTTGCAAGGGTGATGAGGGCGGTCTCTCCACTTTCTCATATGTGCCCTCCAGCCTAATGAAGCCGATTGTGATCCCAATTCAGATCGATTTATATCTCATGCATACGACGTCGGCATTCTCAGTGTGGTGTTGGTTGGCGTTATCTATACTGAGATACACGGCTGTATTCCATCCAATAAAGTATCGAACAATTTGGAGGCAGCCAAGGAATGCATTAAAGTATGTCTCTTAACGCTTACATTATTTCACTTTTGTTTACATTTCCACTACTTTCCGCTCCAA